TAGGAGGAAAAGAGAGAGGCCATTTGCGTCGCTTGCTCCCGCGCGGCGGCTCGGCTGAGCGATGCAGAGGTCAGCTGAGCACCACGGCGGGAGGAGAAGGAAGGTGGGGCGGTGACGTACACGCCCAGGGGGCGAGGCCTGGATGAGCATGCATCCCCAATGGAAACAGAGGAGAGTGGAGAGAGAGTGAGAGGCAGGAGAGGGAGAAGAGAAAGAGAGAGACGGAGAGAGGCAGAAAGCGGAGGAGAGCTGAGAAAGAGAGGGGGAGGCAGTAGGAGGAGGAGAGAGAGAGAGACGGAGTGAGAGATCGGAGGCTCAGGAGAGAAGACCAACGTGTAGGAGAAACCTGAAAATCCCATCTTATGATGGGCTAATTGGCTAGTAAGTAAATAATGACAAGTGAGCACGAGCTTATGATGCTATGGTGGAAAACCACATAAACTTACTTATCTACATCCTTTCAAACATAGACGAGTTTATGATGCTATGGTGGAAAACCACATAAACTTACTTATCTACATCCTTTCAAACATAGGGAAGAATACTTGTCATTTTACAGCAATCTGTGACTTCCCTATTATCTTTAGAAACAGCCTCTCATAATACAGCATAGTTTCCTGAAGGTCCTTTTCCTTTAAAAAAGTATATTATAGTTTGCGCAGTTTTGATAAGAAGCCCTTACTCTTACATCTTAAAAGAACAAACAATTTAGTATTCTAATAAGCTGATGGGCAAATAAACCTTTATTTTCTCCTGATTTTAAAAAAATGATTATTATTTATAAAGAGGTACTTTCCTTCAAGCATCCATCTTCTTCCATTTCTGTTTTGATATAGTTAATAGATATTTTGCTTTCTCTGACTGTGTGTGTTTGATCTATATAGAACTCCTATAGACTAAATGCCCTTTGGAAGAATTTGGGTATTTGCAACATCTGAAGCATGCTAACTTAACACAACAAAAATTAGGCCTCAATCTGAAAAACAAGGAGCTGAGAACAGAATGACACTATAGAAATGCTGAAGGGTTGTTTCCCCCCCTCCCAGTTGCAGTGTCTGTTTCCTGCAACTATCTACAATCTGCAGTATTGACTGGTTTATCAGACAGCAGGTATCTCTATCAGTCTATCTTGAATTGTCATCCAATAGAAGATTAAACACTGCCTGTCTCCTTCTTGTGATTCTCAGTCTTTACATCACAAACTTTTCAATCAAATTTCAGCAATGTACATTTAGCTTAGAGAACTCAGAGTACTTATCTTCCTAAAGCAGGTGACTTAGACCATGTTTACCTTGTACAGTTCCAAGATATCCCTCGGCAAACCTGTCTGCATTTAGGCCTTGAAATGGTTCCCAGGCTCTTTTTTTCCCTTTCTCTGTTTCCATCTCCCTCTCCCTCTACAACCAGGCTACTGGCCAAACAACAACAAAGATTCTGAATTTATAGACAAGTGCCAGTTTCAGAAGAGGTATACCAGTCCAGCAACCTTGTGTTGTTACTTTTTAAAATGAAAGCAGCATAAGCATACCAGTATTGTTCTGTATAGCTTCCTCATTAATAATCTTTTGAATGCACTTATCACTACAGCGGTTTCAGCTCATGAATCAGTTTAAGCCTGAGGAGGGTGTCAGCTGTGCACATTTCTTGGTGTATATTGGATACCTGAGGAAGCTGTGGTCAGTAAGGTATTCCAAACGTAAACTATAGCTCCATTTGTATGAAATTTAGCACAAGCATTCTGACAACGAGAAAAAGATTTTTCCTGCCAATTAGCATATTTTCTGCCGGGTGTTCCTATAAACTGGCTAACTAGATTTTGCATAAACATAAACAGGAGACTAGAGAATGTGGGAAAGAAATTATCCAGAAATACAGGTTAGAATGTTGTGGTGTATTCTTCGTTTAAAATAATTCGAATATAATATAACTAAACTGACTTTGCCAAGGGTTCGCAGTAAGTGAATGGCAGTGTCAGGAATTCCAACCAGAGTCCTAATTTCCAGACTCTTAACAACTAGGTATTTTGGGCCAATTTATCTCAGCTGTAAGCAATGGAGGACCAAAGATGATATTTCTACCCCCCTCTGGCCCCTTTTTGCAAAGTGAAGGGGCTGAAATGGTGTAAAAAGGATTTAAAAGCCATGGTTCTGGTCAGGGAAAAATTACTCTGGTGAAAGATAGCAAAAGGATGTCTTCAGAAACCCCCTTGTAGTGAGGTGAAGTGGCCTCCTATTGAGCCAGAGGGACCACTCTTTGAACCCAGGTAGGCAGAGCCAGGCAAGTACTCTCCCCTCCCAGCAGGAGGTGGGACAGAAAGTATAACCTCTGGAGGAGAAAGGCACCATAGAGGAGCCCTACTGAGCTGAGAACTGGCTGGATCTCCCAGCTGACTGAGGCAATGAGGAGTCTTTGGGACTGTGGCTGCCCACTTACTCCATGGAGATGAAGGGCCCCCTCACCCCATAGATCCAGGAACACCCTCATGAGACGGTAGGAAGTGGCCATGGGATAGTTAGCCCCAATCAGGCTGTGTTACTGCTTGAAACCTGGTCAGAGCGTCATGGGTGGATTCCCTGCTGGCTTTGTGGTAGAATGCTGTTTTGGTATTCGGTGGAACTGGGTAGGCCCAGACCCCGCTATCCCTTGCCACTCCATCTCTGGGGTGGCAGCCTTCCCACAATTTGTTTGCCACCTATCTGAGCCAAGATGTCAGGCAAACTGCTTATTTCTCTGTCCTACTTGAGGGGCCAGAGAGATGCACTTCTGAGTTAAGAGTCTGTTTGGTGCGCCATCTGTCCTGAGCCCTGAGTCCATAAACTAGTGCCCTGCCCTGCTTCAAGGCTTGACCGAGGCCCACCAACGGGGGAGAGGTGCAAATGGGGCAATTGCTCTGGGTCCCAGAGATTCAAAAGGGCCCAGAACTCCCAGCTGCTACTGCTACTGTAGTAGTAGCGGTGCATGGAGCCCTGGGCCTCTTTGAAGTGCCATGGGCGTGCCACTCTGTGTGGCGGAGGGGGATGCCATGATCTGGACGGCACTAAGGGCTGACTGCCCTCAGCCTCGCCCCATCCACCTGAGGCCCTGCCCTTTCTGGGGGTATGGAGTTGCCCCCCCCCCACCTTGCCTCAGGGCCCCAGCTGGCTGTTGGCCATTGTGTTTGGGCCCTGAGGCTAATTGTGTCTCTGTCCCTGCCTAAGGGCCAGTGCCCACAGACTGTTTGCAATGCCTCTACAGATTGCTCGTTTGCGTTGCCCCTGCCTAAAGTCCAGAGCTCACTGACAATGTGAAAGCCCTGTGTCAGGGCCAAAGCCTACTAGCTACTCGTTGTACACTACTTTGCTACTTCTGTGGGCAATGCTCCCTGATGTAGTGAGGTGGAGCGGCCTCCAAAGTTCCCTGTAAGCTGTGTGGCTGTGCAGCAGGCTATCAAGGACTGGGAAGAGGCTCAGCTTTGCCAGAACTGCCGTGTCCATGGAGAGGCCACCCCTTCCCTGGCCCATCCCCACCATAGTTGTCCCAGCTGTGGAGATGTCTCTTCCCCCTCCCAGCCCCAAGGTGGTGTGCTAAGGGAGGGTTTAGGGAGTCCTCTCTTCACACCACAGCTCCAGGGAAGCCTACAATTCAACCCCTCCTCCCTGGTCCCACCCCAGAGCCTTTGTTCCCAGCTGGATCCTTTCCCCCTCTACCACAACCCTCTGCCCCCTCCCTGAGCCCCCTTCCACACCCAGAACCCTTTATATCTAGCCTCACTGCAGGGCCATCACCCTCAACTAGAATCCTCATCTCCTTCACCTTGACCCTCTGCCCCAGTCCTGAGCACTCCCGCACTCTGGACTCCTCACCCCCATCCCTCACACATCATCTCCATACTGGTGCACATAACAAAATTAATCCTGCACATGGCCATACAAATTAGAGGAAATGCTGGTTGGCCTCACACTGATCCATGGGCAGGGGAGGACGAACACACTAGGCACGTAGAATAAAGAGTGTGGGTATATAAGTGATTATTTGCCTGGGGAGTGGAGGGTTGGGGTTGGAGCCCTGCCCACCCTGGGAGCATCAGGACAGGCAACACTAGTTGCCCCAGGAATGGATCTAGCTCCGGCAAGGTAAGGGGGGCCATGTAGGTAGGAAGGTGGGCTGGGTTCTGGAGTGGCCTAGGGGGTAGAGCATCTGCCTGAGGGAACACAGGGTTGAGGGTTAAAGTTCCACCCAAGCTCTGGGCTCGTCTACACTGGCCCCTTTTCTGGGAGGGGCACCATCTTGTTGGTCTTTGGGGTGCTACATAGTCCTGTATTTTGTTTCATGCGCAGTATGGATATGTCTAGACTGCAGGCTGTTCCACCCAAGCTCTGGGCTCGTCTACACTGGCCCCTTTTTTAGCAGCGTAGTGTCCCTTTACCTCTTTGCGGCTGGAGTTTTCTCCCTTTCTCAGGAAATGACTCCTCAGTGGGAAAAGGCTCTGGCAGGGAAATACTTGGGCAGCTCCCCACTGCAGACAGACCATGTTAGGAAGGATACTATCTATTGACTTTGATGCTGGAGACTAACAAGATGGTTTACTTACGTGGTGAGCTTTCGTGGGCCAGACCCAACTTCATCAGTGGGTCTTTAATCAATATTGGTGACACTGGTAAGATTGATGTCGAATCTGTGTGGCCCACAGGTTTGAGTCCCTCCTGCATAACAAAGCTGGGCACCACTGGCTTTGAGAGAAATTGAGACCTGGTAAAGAAGCCCAGAGCTCCCATTTAGGCTCACTGATTCCCAGCTCTGCCTTCCTGTTTTTCCTTTCGATTTTCCATACCTTCTGCTCCCTGTCTCCCATCCCTCTCCTTTCCCCCCGCCCCCCTGTCTCCTATTTATTTTGGGTCTGCACATCCTAAACTCAAAACTCAGGTCATCTGAAAAGTGGGCCGTGCCCATGGAAGCTCATGATACCATCTACATGTTTTGTTAGTCTATAAAGTGCTACCAGACCATTGGTTGTTTTTTTCATGGTAAGTTTGTTAGTTTAAGAAGCTTCTTCCAAGAGAGAGCATCTACATAGTAAAATAGTGATACAGATGCAGCCATGTTAGTCTGGTGTAGCTAAAATAAAAGACAGAACTATGTAGCACTTTGGAGACTAACAAGATGGTTTACTTACGTGGTGAGCTTTCGTGGGCCAGACCCATTTCTATTGATCTGAGGAAGTGGGTCTGGCCCACGAAAGCTCATCATCTAATAAACCATCTTGTTAGTCTTTAAAGTGCTACATAGTCCTGTATTTTGTTTCATGTTAGGAAGGATACTATCTATTGACTTTGATGCTTATCTGCTTTGTTTTAACTACCTAATCTTCAGATGCTCACTGATTCCCAGCTCTGCCTTCCTGTTTTTCCTTTCGATTTTCCATACCTTCTGCTCCCTGTCTCCCATCCCTCTCCTTTCCCCCCGCCCCCCTGTCTCCTATTTATTTTGGGTCTGCACATCCTAAACTCAAAACTCAGGTCATCTGAAAAGTGGGCCGTGCCCATGGAAGCTCATGATACCATCTACATGTTTTGTTAGTCTATAAAGTGCTACCAGACCATTGGTTGTTTTTTTCATGGTAAGTTTGTTAGTTTAACCTTATATAGAACTGACTCTACCATTAACATTACCTTACTCTTCCCATTATAAGACCACGTGTTCAGTTGCTTATAACTTTAGCAAACTTCAGCAGGCAGAGGCTGAAATTTTCCAGGCCTGGTGTCTGCCTGGGACTGTTTTTGATTTTGAACATTGTGATAAAAATGGTTCATCCAGGGGATACCTTTTGTCACCTCTCTCAATATCTGCCCAAATTTGGCTCACAGGCTGAGCCATTGTTTCTCTTCACTCCAAGGGGCCACTGTGTTTCAGTGCTTACAACTCTGCTGGTGCCCAGGAGAAGGAATAGTATCTCACTACAATCCTGTAGAATGGGAAAGGGTTAAAAAATAAATTGGGGGTGGAACAGACATAGAGGCAGTGACAAGCTACTAATGGGCAGAAGGTAGGAAGAGACAGAGATCAGGTTCTGTGTGATCATTATAATTGTGTGTGAATTTTTGATGAAAATAACGCCATTTATCAAAACTTTTCAACATTTTCAAACTGAAAAATGTTGTGTAATTGTTCCTTTGATATAACTTTGTTTCAAAATTGAAGCTGATTTTAGAAACACAGTTTTAAAAAATAAAACTGGTCAAAATCTAAATTATAGAAACAAAACATGTCAGATGGCCCAAACTAGATTTTCTTAGGGAGGCAGGATGTGAAGGGCAGTGGAGAAAGGTCTGGGGGGGAGGGTTGGAGAAAGAGCGAGAGAGTGTTAGTTTGTTTTGATTCATGGACATTTTTGAGTTTTTTTTATTATTTGTCCCAATTTGGGATGGGAACATTTTTCAAACACTTTCATGGGATGGGAAAACTGCTTCCTATCCAGGTCTAGTGATCATGTAATTAAAGATTGTACCATGATGCTTATGTATCATGTAACTTACTTCTGTCATTTATTAACTTTTGAGTGATTGATGTTACAAAAAAATTAATATTCTTTAAATATATTTGCATATAATTTTATATGCTTTAGTATTGTAATCTTTAATAGTTGGTATAGGTGAGTATTTTCTCTATCAAATCGAGGGACATGAGGGACCCAAAATAAAAAAAATCTGAGTAGTTTCGGGCACCATGTCATTGTTGTATTATAAGTAAGGCAATGTTGGTATTTCTGTTATAAAGAAGGTTGTTTGTAGTTTAATATTTTGCTCTCATTCTAGGACCTTTCCTTTTTCATTGTCAAGCAAGCAAGCAAGTAATGCTCTTCCCAAACCCTGAAAGAAACTAACCAAACACAAAACAAAAACCATAAAACCCCACAAGCTAAGCGAACCAAAAAACCACCAAATCCCCAAAACAGAATATTTTTCATTTTAGCTTCACAAATGTTATTTTTCCCCCTCCAACGTTACTCAAAAGCAAATGCATTGACCAGATGGGAAAAGTGAGGTACAGAAAGGAAGAAGAAGAAGAAGAAAAAAGAATGCTGTGAATGAATCTCATCTTACAAATTATCAGTGCAGATGCATTTATCAATTGGGAACACTGAAAAATAATGTGACGTAAATCAGGAACAAATGCCAGCTTTTCGAAGTTTTTCTAAATCTGTAATGGAGCAACTTCTAAAATGTAAGTTTTGTGATGTGTAGATCCCCATATTCACTATATGTTACAACATGGATGAGGCATTTTCAATTTAGTAAATAAACGAAACAGTGGCTACTTTTTTGAGAATGTTTTGTGTCACGGTACTAATTCCCTATCCATTTGATAAGGATGCAATGATTTCACGACAGTGTCAGTGCAGGTCTATGGAAAAGACATTATGGTGTCAAAATGAAATGAAACAATGTTAATTTGTCTATGGAAACTGCGTTATGCTGCCAAATTGAAACAGAACCCTTAACTCAGCCTCCTTGAGACTTGGCACAGCAGTCCCATCAGAGGACCCCACGATACAAGGTGATTTTTACAGCAGCACACTGGGAAACTACAGATCTGGGTTAAATATTACATGAGATTAGGCTATTTCTTTTTTCAGCAGACTCGCAACTGTATAGCATTTCCTAATATGCTGCAATGACTCCAAAATGGGAAGAGACTGGGGGTCTCTTAAATAGCATTCTGGCAGCTTACCTCAGACTCCTTTTTGGTTTTTAGTGGTTGGCAGCCCCTCTCCTCCGTAACATTCTATTGCTGCATGCTTTTGGGTGTGAAACGTTATTAAGTTTTACAATGTCCACGGCACCTAACCAACATCTGGGACATCTGAGCTCAAATGAAACAATGTTCTAAATCTAATTTCGATTTGGACACCAGAACAAAACATTTCTAGTACAACTAGAATTTGAATATGAAGCACGGAGCTAGGGAATACAATAGTAAAAAAAGAATGGCAAACACTCTGAAATCAAAACACAGAATCTGAAGGCGGGAATTATTATAATTATGCCCTTTACTGTCAGCATATGTTGAGTTATAGAATCAACTTCTCAGGTGTAGCTTTCTCTTTTATTTTGTTTTATCTTCCTGGACAGGGTATCCACCTATGAAAAAATGACAATCCTTGATCTCTTGCTCCGGGGATCTTTGTGTTTGCCCACTGCAGTTTTTGTCGTTTTGTACTTGTAAGAATGTTTTCTATGGTATGCGCTGTACCTTTTAAGTGCATAATGAACCCCCAAAGTTGCAAGAGAACCCTCTGGCTCCTGTTACAACCTAAATAGTGTACACTGTGCTGTCTCATAGGGTATGTCTACACTACAAAGTTAGTTCGAACTAACTTTCATAGGCGCTACACTAGCGCTCCGTTAGTTCGAATTTAATTCGAACTAACGGAGCGCTTAGTTCAAACTAGGTAATCCTCATTTTACGAGGATTAAGCCTAGTTCGAACTAGCTAGTTTGAATTAAGGGGTGTGTAGCCCCTTAATTCGAACTAGTGGGAGGCTAGCCCTCCCCAGCTTTCCCTGGTGGCCACTCTGGCCAACACCAGGGAAACTCTATGCCCCCCTCCCGGTCCCGGACCCCTTAAAGGGGCACGGGCTGGCTACAGTGCCCATGCCAGGTGCAAGCCTGCCAGCACCCAACCAGCAGACCCTGCACCTGGCACGGATTGAGCCACCCACCCG